GCCGGCCTGCGCGGCCGCTGGCGGCACCCGCGGCTCCCCCGGGCCGGGGCGGCGGCCGCGACCTTAGTGCACAGGCTCAGCGGCTCTGCAGCCGCATCTGAAGTCCGGGAAGAGGAGGGCTCGGTGCCCCCTGCCCCCGCGCCTGCTGCAGTCTGGACCCTTAGTAGTTGATACACCAGCACCGTGACCCCGACTTTGCGGGAGAGGAGCTCAGGACAAGGAATGGTTTACAACTTGACCTCGCAGTTTTAGAGATAACTAGTCCAGTTGCTGTTTAAAATCAAGAGCGACCTTGATATAAACTGAGTTTTAAAAAAAAGGTGTTCTCATTATTCACAGTTTATTCAGTAAATAACCACGAAGTTTACGTGATAAATATCAATGGAGATGTAAAACATCAGGAAAAACTTTAAAAATCAATCTTGGAAAATACTGAAAAGCATGAAAATAAAAATCTCGTGTGTCCACAACTTAGAATGTACCACTGTTAACTTTCTGGGTCTATCTGTATGTTTTTGAAACCTGCCCTTAATGCCTTTCAAAAACTCAAATGGGATCAAACTCTTTTCCAGACTTCTTTTCACTGAGCATACCTAGAATATTTTCCTGTGTCATTTCATTTCTGTAAACACGATTTTTATTGTGAACATTTCCAAAATTTGTAGAGTACAAAGAGTACAACTAGCATTCCTGTACACCTCACTCGCTAAGCTGTAAGACTGGTCAACATTTTACCATACTCCAGTATTTTTTCTGGAGTATTTTAAAGCCAATCTCAGATATATCATTTTACCCCTAAATACTTCAGTATACATTTAAAAAAAAAATTTTTTTACTAAGCCAAAATGCCATTATCAAATCCAACAAAATGCATATTTTTTTAATAGCCTCAAATTTCCCAGTGTCTTAAAAAACGTCTTTTTACACTTGATTTCTACTCCATGTACTATTTGCTTGTTGTCTCTTCAGTCCCTTTTTATCTAGAACAGTCTCCTCACCCACTCCCCGTTTTTAATGCATTAGCATGGTGAAGAAGAATGGAGGTGGGTTGTCCTGTAGAATGAACGCATGTTGAGGATGGCTGGAGGTTTCTCCGTGGTGTTCTTTGTTCTTCCATCCGTCGTCTTGCCTGTACACTGCATATAGATGTGATGCTTTGATTCATTTTTTAGGGGAGAGTAAGAATGCTTCGCAGGTGGTGCCTACATTTGACACTGCAGCACATGGGGAGGCAGACGGTGTCTGCTGTCTTGTTTTCAGCAAAGCTAAGACTGATCACCAGGGTCAGTGGTTCTCTCTTCACAATGAATTTCTCCGTCAACATCGCACCTCAGGGTTTCACCATTTTCTGAAGCACTCATTTTATGAGTGGATTGCATGAGTAATTTCTTTAATTCTAACATTCCTCGGCATTCATCAGCTGAGATTCTTTTGAATCGAAGAATTATCACGATTCACTGGAGCTACTGACTGCAGAAATTAAATTCACACCAGAAAGGCAAGATAAATTTTTATTACTTTCCCTTAAATTATGAATTTTTGGAGGATTGAGTTAAGTGTCCTAGCAACTTCCAGTGGTATCCAATATGCTTTGCTTTGTTTCTCCTTTTTTTGATTATCATTATGAACTTACGACTTTGTATAGTTAGTGTTTTAACCAACTTCAGTCATCATTCTGACTGATGTTCAGTTTGTCCCATCTTAGCCAGTGGAAGCACCTTCAAATGGGAACTTGTGTCCTTTTGATGTGGTCGCCATGAGGTTTTTACAATTTCCTTGCTTTCTGGACCAAAACATGCCAGGCTCACCTCATCTCTAACCTGTCTCAGACTTGGAATCAGCCATTGATCCAAAGAGCCCTGCTTCCTCTGAATGGGAAATAGTATTTAGAAAATTGGACACAGCTGGAAAATACATAATTTTAAAAAGAGGAGTGCAAAAAGCATCAATTAACACTAATATTTCTAATTAAAATTGAAGATTGCAGAGTTTTTTTTAACTTTCTTGGATTTTATAATTTTTGTCTTATGCCAAAAAATCTTGGTTCTAAAATCTTAACATAATTGCTTTAATCTGTCCTTAGATCTATTTCAAAAAAGCCACATCAATATTATGGCAGCAATAAGACTAGTAAATGAAAGTTTAAGATTTTTTACAGTTCTTTTTCTCCTTAGAGTACACCTCATAAAGATACAAATTCAAAGACTTTTTCTAAGGTCAAGTATCTCTGTTCATTACCAGGTTGATAGCTATTTTCATCCATTTCAGCTGGCTCTCAAGTTAGCTGTGCCCTATTGATGGTTTCTCACATGGTTCCTTTCTTTTCTTTTCTTTTTTGCTAGTACGAACCATGCCATAATGAAATTTTTGTATTTTTTCAAGAGAATTTTTGGTATAGTTTCCTAAAAGTGGGATTGCTGGGTTGAATGATTTTATATGCATATGTAATTTTGCTGGATATTGTCAAAATCTTTTCTATAAAGGTTGTATCACATTGCATTTCCTCTAGCAATGTACAGGAACCAGCTGGGGTTAAAAAAGGAAGAGGCTGGGATTATTACAACCTGGAAGCTTGGAGGAGACCTCTGCCGGGAGGGCACCACTCAGCTGCTGTTAATACCTTAGGCGCTAGGGAAGGGGCTTTCCAGAGCTGGAACTCAGATCTCAAAGGACAGCGTGTGGCCAGGATGGTGCTGCCACCTCAGGAGCCTGAAGGAGACTCCCTGAGGAGCTAGGCCTGAGGCCTGGGAGGGGACACAGCCCAAGCAGTGCTGGTACCTCCCAGGGGGCATAATGAGGCTGGTTCTAGGAGTGCTAACCACCTGGTGACTGGAACCAGCTGCTGCTGCTTGGAAAGCAACACTGCTGAGCTGACGCTGACAGGAAAGCAAGCAAACAGGAAGGAGCAAGTTCCTTTTCCCTCATTCTGGTTTTCCAGCTCCTTCTATCGCCCCCTAGTGACAGAAGCTAAAAGAGAGTCAGCGGGGAAAGCAGCAATGTGATTTCTCGAGTTCCAGCATCACACAGCAAGGTATAGAGAGGTGGGCTTAGAGCTGAGAGACGACAGCTAGCACACATTAGAAAGTGGGTTTAGTCCGTGAAGACAGGAAGGTTTCAGTATCAGCAAATTAATGAACATTGTTCATCACATTAATATATCTAAGGAGAATAATCATGTATCATTTTTGCGCTAATTGTTAAGCTACTGTGTTTCAGCTTCAAATCCACACTTCTATGTGGTAAAAAGAGGTAATGATAGCTTAGTTTTCAGGAGATAAATCTGGAAAATACTAAAAACAATAACAGAGTTTAGTAATTAACATATAGAAATCAATAATCTTCATATATACAAACAATAATCAATTAGAAGAGAGAATCAAAGAGAAGATCCCATTTATATTACCAAGAAAAAAGATGAAATACCAAGGCATAAATTTAACAGGAAAAGTGTCAAACCTCTGTGAGGGAAACTTCAAATCTTTCCTAAAGTCTCTATAATTTAAAGAGTACAGTAGTACGGCATAAAAGACACACAGACTAGTAGAAGAGAAGAGAAAATGGAGAAATAAATTTAAGTGCATATGGAAATACAACATAAAAAAAGGTGGCATTTCAAATAAATATTGGAACACATGAATTTTTAAATTTATGGGGCGTTGTTTGCAGAAAGGTCAAAATTGCATTCATACCTCACCCCATACAATAGAACAAAATCCACGTGAATCAGAAATTTAAATGTCAAAACAAAATGAAATCATGGGTAAATGTCTTAATAATCTGGGAATGGGAAAATTGTTTCTTTTTTTTGGTTATGAATTCTCAGATTTTTTTTTCCTCCTCAATTCAGAACCAGAATTATGGCTGAAACAGCTGGTGGGAAGGTTATTTTTAGTTTGCTCTTCTACTGAAAGTGTAGCCCAACTTTATCTAACGAGGTTTACTATTAGATTCTCCATTTTAGCTAAACCCTAGGATCTGCCTTCTGTCTCCAGCCCCACATGGCTGTGGATCCAACGCTTAGGTTCACCCAGTTAGGCAAATGCCTTCAGGCAAACAGCCAGTTTCAGGCTCCATCTAACTCTTTGGCTTCCTGCACTCATTCAGTCTCTGATCTGAGCTTTCCTACTTCTCCACTAGCTAATAGATGCATTCAAGGTTTGTCTTTTTAAATATTTCACCCAGTAATTGTATTTTATTTTTTCAGGAAGAGGGTTGATCCATGCATCTAGCATATCATGTTGCAAGAAGTGGAGTAGTAGCTATTCTTTACTTTATTTATGGGTTTGGGATGAGATAGATACACATGATCCCAAATTAAAATGGGTATAAATGGTTAGATGGTGAATAGATCTCTTTCTCTTCTCTGCACCCCTCTCCTGAGCCAATGTGATACCACTGCCTTGGGTAATTAGATAGAATTTGATTAATTCTTTCAAAAGAGCTACCTATTCTAAACTATGTATAGCAAAACGCTGTAATAAAATAGTACTCCATTTTACTTTAGATCCACTGGGCATGCAGATTATTTGGTAAACAGTTTAGTTGGTAAATTTTTTAAAAACGAAAATCACAGTGTACATTCAGTATAAATACTAAGAGTGATGATAACCTAGCTACCATTTTTCCCCTTTCTTTATGGATTGGGAATGCCATGCAGCAGGTATATCACAGCTTCTGATAGGCCCCCAATGAGAGGAAACTGCTACTACAGAGTGATCGTCATAGGCATTGAGGACAGGAGTGGCAGGAGTTATCAGGAAGGTAATACAAATATATTTTTTAAAGTCTTTATCTCTTAAGACCTAAAGAACTGAACATTGCAAATGGGAACACTGTCAATAGTAAAAGCCCTAATCCATAATGAATATATAGTAATTATGATATTTATGTACCAAATAGCAGAGCAACTACCTTTATGAAGCAAAAACAGGAGATGCATGGAGACAGACAGGAACACAATAATAGGAGATTTTAATCTTCTATTCTCAGTATAAGACAGATAAAGTAGATAAAAAACAGTCAGGAGATAGAAGATCTGAACAACATAATCAATAGCGTAAATCTTATGAGTATCTATCAAACTCTACCCTCTGATAATAGAGAATACATATTCTTCTCAAGTGCTCACAGCACAGTTACAAAAGCTGATCATATATTAGGTCATAAAGAAAACATCAGTAACTTCCATAAAGT